CTGAGTTAGACCCTTCACCTTCCCAGGCCTTACCCCCCCGACCCTCAACTCATCCAGAACCCTCACCCCCTGTGACCCTCACCCAACCCGGACCCTTCAACCTGTGACCCTCACCCACCCCCCCCTCTGGCTGTCACTCATCCCAAACCCTAACCCCCTGGGACCCTCACCCACCTCGCATCTTCCCCCCACCACCGACCCTCAGCTCATCCGGAACCCTCACCCCCTGTGACCCTCACCCACCCCAGAACCTCACTCCCTCTGACCTCACCTTCCCGGGTCACCCTCCGCCCCCCAGCCTTCAGAGCATCTTTCCTGGATGGACACCTGTTAGCCACCCGGGAGAGGGAGGCGTTCACCCTGAATACATGCAATGGGTGGCAAAGGCTGTGTGTTAAGAAAATACAGAAGTGGCTAATACGTTGAATTTGGGAGAAACAAAGTTTGGGACTGAAGGTAAGAAATCCTGTTGTGTTGCTGGGGGTCTGTGCGGCCCACCCAGGGCGGTGCTGCTGGAAAACCTCTGAGGTTGAAGGCTGTACTTCTTTCCCCAAAGGCTCCTAATGTAATTTTTCAAATTGCTGTTGACCTTGAATTTGTTCTTTTTACCGGACAGAGTATCCAACTATTTAGATCCCTTTGTATTCGTTTCGGTTTTTCCTCCATGCTAATGTTTTTGTATCGCTCTCATTAGTGGGTGTGTGAAATTTGTTTCCTGTTTGATTTTTTTCCTCTTAACATTATAGCACTTTTTGTGCAAAGTCAATAATTTTTCAAAATACAGAAGGACCCTCTTTGCTTATGCATTCCCCAACTACTGTTGCAACCTTGTTTTCTTCATTGTAAAATATAAGCTGCGTATGCAAAGTACAGGAAACACGTTTGTTCAGTTTAAGCGAACAGCAAAATTAGCCTTTCCTGTTACCACTACACAGATAAAGAATTAGAAATATGGCCGTCCTTAGAATCCTTGCACCCCCACACACACACCCCAATTCCTAATCACAACCCTCTCCCATCCACTCCCATTTCAGGGTAACCATGGCTTTGCCTTTCTTTGTAATTTTACTATGTATGCATTCCTAAACAGTTGACTGGTTTTGAACTTCATATTACAGTATCACGCTGTGAATATTTTCTATGTGTGGTAGGTACTTTGAGACATCTTGACTGAGAGTCATCTGAGTTGCTAATTACTGGTTTGATTTTCATTGCTGTATAGTATTCCATTGTATGAGCGTGCATGCACATACAGCATTATCCATTTTAGCCTAGAAAGACATCTGCGTTGTGTCCAGTTTTTTGCTGTTGTGCATAATGTTATTAAGAATGTTATGTGTAAGTATTCGGTTGCCTCTAAGCATGAAATTTTCTAGGCTCTGATACTTTGGAGTGCAATTATGGGGTGTGGCAGTTAAGGTTGCCTGTCCTCATGGCTGGGCAGCTGGATGTGGGTATTGCCCATGATGACTTGTGCTCACCTCCATGGTGGAATCTGCTGTGAGCAGCCAGTCAGTCGAAGGGGAGCTGCCTTTGGAGTGTGGCCCGCCTCCTGTGCATATGGAGAAGCTTTGAGAGAGGGCTTGAGCCTTTTGCCAAGTTTCGGATCCTGCATTTGGCTTGAGTCTTCATCTCCAGTTCCTAGACTTGAACCCCTAGCCTGCCATGTTGCCTGCTGATCTTGGGATTGTGCCATTTTAACTGCTGACCTTGGGTTCATCAGCCTCAGTAGCCAGCAGCTGCCTGAGTCAGGAGGCACTTCCAGGTTCAGTGGGCCTGGAAGCCCAAGGTCGAGGGGCCTTCACCCGACCACTAGAGCCAACACTCAATTTGGGCTTCTAGTCTCCTAAACTGTAACAGAATCCATTCCTGATTATTGAAGCCATTCATTTGTAGTATTTCTGTTAGAGCACCAGAAAACTAAGACAAACTTTGGTGCTGCTCTAACAGCACCTGAGATGTGGAAGCGGGGGTGGGGCACGCCATTGGAGCCCTGAGGCCCCCGGCCGTGGCAGCAGAGCCAAGAGGCCGGCACAAGATGAAGCGAAGGCTTGCGGGCCCTCAGAGCGAGCTAGCTCAGTGCCTTTGGGCAGGAGGCTTCTGGCGAGTAGGTTGCCTTCAGGGTGCTAATTGGTAGAGCTGAAAAGCTCTGTAATACTTGCTGGCACAGGGCAGAGGTCAGGCTGGCTTCTTCCAGAGACCACGGAAATGAGAAGCCAAGCTGCCTCGGTCTCAAAGGGTAGGACCATCGCCTCTGGGGTTTCCAAGGCTGGAACCTCCACAGCCTCCTAGGTTTTAAAGAGTCAGATCTTCACCAACTCAGTTCTGGAGTGTACATGAGTGCCAGTGGGATGGGGCTGTATCTGCTGCCCAAAAGTGTAGGGGTAGGGTTGCCATGCACAGGGGGCAGAAGAATGGGGCTCTCCACTGAGATGGAATAGGAAAACCAGGCTACCCAATGCAGGAGATCTGTACAGGTGCCCAGCTGACAAGGGCTGCAGTGTAGTGGTAAGGTTGTGTGTCAACTTGGCTGGGCTGTGGTTTTGAGTGGCTGGGCAGCTGGAGGTAGTTATCCCCCATGATGAGTCGTACTCACCTCCATGGTGAGTCTGCTCTGAGCAGCCAATCAGTTGAAGGGGAGCTGCCTTCAGGGTGTGGCCCGCCTCCAGTGCATATGGAGAAGCTTTGAGAAAAGTCTCAAGCTTTTTGGCACATTTTAGAGCCTGCATTTGGCCCGAGTCTTCATCTCCAGTTCCTGGACTTGAACCAGTGGTCTGCCATGTCGCCTGCTAATCTTGGGATCGTGCCATTTTACCTGCTGACCGTGGGTTCATTAGGAGATACCTCCTGCTCCAGTGGGCCTGGAACAAGAGGCAGAGCTAAAGCCTGAGGTTGAGGGCCCTTCACTCAGCCCCCAGAGCCGGCACTCTGAATTCAGACTTCCGGCCTCCTGAACTATCAAGAGAATAAATCCGTGCTTGTTAAAGCCACCCACCTGTGATAATTGTGTTACAGCGGCACTAGAGGGCTGAGACGTGGGTCCCAGGGTTATGGTCCCTGGGTGGCAGCGGTGCTTTGTGCTCGTGTGGTGACCTAAAGGTTAGCGGTGTGAACTCACCCAGAGCACCTCGGAGCAAAGGCCTGCTGATGTGCTTGGGTACAGAAGACCGAGGGGGCAGTGCCGCTGGGTGACATGATGCGGTGCCACCTACGGGAGGCGACTTGGAGGCGATGGTAAGGGTTATGCCTGACTGATTTTTCAGATTGACTGTCCTGGGCTATTACTCTTCACCTGAATTTGCCAGTCTGGTGGCTGTGTGAGGGTGTTGTTTGGGGGCTGTAACTGGCGTTGCTTTGTCACTGAGACAGTGCAGCATCTTTTCATGTGTTTCTTCACCGTCTGGTTTTTGGTGCGTTGCCTGTTCATTGCTGGTTTGCTCCCGGTTGTCTTTTTTTCCTTGCTTGGTGGGTGTGTTTTTGCTTTGTGTTAATAAATGCTGGACCGCAGTACTTTGGCGGTTATGTATGTTACAGATTCCTTCCAGTGTGGTTTGCCCTGAAGTTCTTTGTGGCCTCTTTGGATAAGCAGTTGCGTTTTAATGTGGACAGGTGTAGTCATCCTTTCCCTCATGGTTGCTTCCATTTGTTCCTTCTGCCCCAAGGCCGGGAAGACCCCGTCTTGGGCTGTCTTGTAAAAGCTGCAGAGCTTGCCCTCGTAGCTGAGTCTTTGCTCTCCCTGGGATCTGTGTTTGTGGCAAGTTGGGATCCAGGCTCCTGTTTTTCACACGGATTTCCAGGTGTCCCAGCACCGCTTACTGAACAGACTGTCTTTGCCCATGCATCCACATGACCACTCTTGCCCCAGGGCTTTCTGGGCTCAGCTCTGTTCTTTTGTTCTTGTTCTCGTTCCCTAGTGCCACTCTGACAAGAATAGACCACAAATGGGATGGCTTGAACAAACTGGAGTTTATTCTCTTATGGTTTGAAGACTTTAAGTCCAAGTTCAAAGTGCTAGGCTCTAGGGGCTGGGTGGAAGCCCCTCAACCTTGGGCTTCAGCTCTGCCTCCTGCTCCCAGCCCACTGAAGCTGGAATCTTTTCTTCACTCAGACAGCTGCTGGCTGCTGAGACTGACAAGCCCAAGGTTGACAAGTAAAAAGGCATAGTCCTGATGTTACCAAACTACACGACAGTCCATTAATTCAAGTCCATTGAATGTCCCAAGATTGGCAGAGCACGGTGGGCTGCTGAACAACATGGCTACATGCAGGGTCCAAGTGTGCCATAAGCTAGAGACTATCCCCAAGGCTTTTCTTTATATACACGAAGCAGAAGCAGACCACGTCCCTAAAGTGACTACTCAGCTGCTTGTGGTACATCCCACCATGGAGTTGATTGCCAGTCTCATGGGGAATAACTTCCACCAGCTACCCAGCCACTCAACCAGGCCCGGCCAAGTTGACACACAAACTCAACTACTACAATTCCACCCCTTGTCAACTTAGCATTTGTATGATCTCCTTCACTGGATGGCTCCAGTCCCCTAGTTCCTGAGTGGTGACCTGAACCCCTTGGCCTGGCAGGCC